AGTCTCTCCCCTCACCTGCTGTGCTCAGTCTCCCCCTCACCTGCTGTGCTCAGTCTCCCCCTCACCTCCTGTGCTCAGTCTCTCCCCTCACCTGCTGTGCTGTCTCCCCCTCACCTGCTGTGCTCAGTCTCTCCGCTCATTAGGTATCGTGTAGTTACTGTGGCTACCCCGACCAGGTATCGTGTAGTTACTGTGGCTACCCCGACCAGGTATCGTGTAGTTACTGTGGCTACCCCAGACCAAGCAAGTATCGAGTAGTTCCCAGGCCAGGTATCGTGTAATACCTCTCATCCCCTGGTATGTCCTCTGAGGCGTCTCTATCTGGTGGGGTATCTTCTTGGTACGTTCGTCTAGGATGTCTTTACCTGGCCTCTGGTCTGTCTCCAGCTGGTGTCTTTGTCTGGTATGTCTTCGATTGTTACCAGGTAACCCCCTGGAAGCAGCCCGTAACAGCTGTCTAACTCGCAGGTTCCTATTTACTGCTAGGTAACAGGGCCATCAGGGTGAGAGAAACTCTGCCCGTTTGTTTCCGCCTCCGCCGGGGATCGAACCCTTAGAAATACGAACCCCCGAGCGCTATCCACTCAGCCGTCAGGCGCAGTTGTTTCTGTCTCTGTCAGACAGAAACTGTTTCTTGTTTCTGTCTCAGTCTCTGAGCACTCTGTGCAGCACAGCAGGTGTGGAGATACTGAGCAAAGAAGGTGAGAGAGACTTCGTCTGGTGTGCCTTTAGCATAGTGTGGCTTCGTCTGGTGTGCCTTTAGCATAGTATGGCTTCGTCTGGTGTGCCTTTAGCATAGTATGGCTTCGTCTGGTGTGCCTTTAGTATAGTATGGCTTCGTCTGGTGTGCCTTTAGCATAGTGTGGCTTCGTCTGGTGTGCCTTTAGTATAGTGTGGCTTCGTCTGGTGTGCCTTTAGTATAGTGTGGCTTCGTCTGGTGTGCCTTTAGTATAGTGTGGCTTCGTCTGGTGTGCCTTTAGCATAGTATGGCTTCGTCTGGTGTGCCTTTAGTATAGTGTGGCTTCGTCTGGTGTGCCTTTAGTATAGTATGACTTCGTCTGGTGTGCCTTTAGTATAGTGTGGCTTCGTCTGGTGTGCCTTTAGTATAGTGTGGCTTCGTCTGGTGTGCCTTTAGTATAGTATGGCTTCGTCTGGTGTGCCTTTAGTATAGTGTGGCTTCGTCTGGTGTGCCTTTAGTATAGTGTGGCTTCGTCTGGTGTGCCTTTAGCATAGTGTGGCTTCGTCTGGTGTGCCTTTAGCATAGTGTGGCTTCGTCTGGTGTGCCTTTAGCATAGTGTGGCTTCGTCTGGCATGCCTTTAGTATAGTATGGCTTCGTCTGATGTGCCTTTAGCATAGTGTGGCTTCGTCTGGTGTGCCTTTAGCATAGTGTGGCTTCGTCTGGTGTGCCTTTAGTATAGTGTGGCTTCGTCTGGTGTGCCTTTAGCATAGTGTGGCTTCGTCTGGCGTGCAGCTGCAAGTCGTGACATCGATCTGACACTCCCCTTTCCCCCTCCTCTCCCGAACGTATTTTGACTTAGGCTATTGTGACAACTTGTGTAAATAAAGACTCCTGGTAGGGCGAGCCTTCAATTTACAAGGCTTGGTCCAGTACAATGTTTATACTCCTTCACAATACTGATACCTCTCACGATGCTTAGTTAAAGTGTGAGTTGAATCAATGTAACAGGATTTATAAAACTCACTCAAAGCTTAGCTCAAGTGTAAGCTGTGTCAAGTCCAACAGAGTATATATATGTAAAACACACTCTGAATATAGTATTAGTAGGCATCCTTCAGTCTCGGGAGACTATGGAATTGCGCTCTGGTCCATGGGCCAGATTCACGAAGCAGTTACGCAAGCACTTACGAACCTGTACATCTTTTCTCAGTCTTGGCGGCTTTGTTTACAATTATTAAACAGTTAATGAACTCCGAAGCACCAGGAGGCTATTTATAACAATAACAACAGTTGATTGGGAAGTTTTCATGCTTCTAAACTGTTTAATAAATGTAACCAAAGCCGCCAAAGATTGAGGAAAGATATACACGTTCGTAAGTGCTTGCGTAACTGCTTTGTGAATCTGGCCTCAGGGCATATAGCCTGGGTAGGTCAATATGGAGGAGAAGCTCTTACCCATCCAGCAAGTCCCCCCTCTCCACGTTGCTGAAATTATCCAATGGAAAGGCCAATGCTAATACACATGGTTCCAGCAACGTCGCAGGAGCTGCCGGAACGAGATCGAACGCTCCAACTCCGGATTTTTCCTCGAGGTTGACTCCTGAAGCCTTTCCCCCCTAAAAAAGGGTATGGCCGCAAGGCAGCGGAGGGTTAGAATCAGGGTTTTCCTTCCCCTAGATGAGCTCCCTTCCCAGGCTAACGAGTCCCATCTACCCGGCCTCTGAATATAGGTAACACAAAAGATACTATTGATACTTTGCAGCTTATACAAAGCTGCTGTGCTTAACCTTCAGGGACCTGAAGGCTACTACGATATAGAACCTTGTTGAGATTGATATTAAAATTCCTTATTCATAAAAAATACTGAATCCACACCTAAAAGAGCACAAAGTTTAAGTAGAGAAAATCCAGAAGCTTAGTGCAAGTCTGGCCCATTAAACTGAACTGCGAGAGAAAGGCTCGATGAACTAGTTCGACCCTAGCCGGAAGAGAGATAGATAGAAGCCAACATGATCACAAAACATACGATTCTTAGAAGCATTACCAGTGGACATAAATTAAATCTTTTACATGAACAGGGAAATATAGAGAGAATGCGGGTGGTTACTTAAAACTCTACTATGTATACTCATAGTGGATACGAGGATCGATCTACGAGGATACTATGTAACCTCACAAACCCAATGTACCTTCTTGTATATAAATAAATAAATAAATAAATAAATAAATAAATAAATAAATAAATAAATAAATAAATAAATAAATAAATAAATAAATAAATAAACTTAGATATATGGAATCATTTCCTCAGTGTAGGAGTCCCTAACAAGTGTAATGAGCCAAAAGAAGAGGTAAGTGAGCCTATATACATCCACAGTTTCAAGAGTAGGTGATGTAAGAAGGGGGTCTTAAACTATAGCATTAAGCAACTAAAGGCGGGACCCTGGAACTGAAGCTCTCTCTGCAAGCACATGTAGGTGAACAGACACATTTCACACTGAACAGAGCGATTTATATCATATTAGCACTTAGGCCCTCGAGTTGGTAATGAGAGTCTGGGAAAGGGACAGAAGGATGGAAAGGGAGGAAGGAGATGAAGGGGAAGGGTACGGAACAGGAAGGAGGGACTCAATGAAGGAGAAGGGAAGGTGAGGGAGGGGGCGCTGGGAAGAGGGAATAAGGGGTAAGGGGAGAAGCGTTAAAGACTCAGTATTGATTTAGGAATGCCAACACACTTGTACAGTCAAGTCCGCACGGGAACGGCAGCAATGGAGTGGAGTTTCATGTTCATCCACATTTCTCTTCGTGGAGCCGTGAGATTAATGTGGACCAGCTCCGGCTTCAACATAAACAACACACACACATCAGATAATCTCAGGTAAATACGTAAATACCTTTAAAACCTAGATCGCTGAGACATAAGCATCATCTCTGTGCCGATAATCCATGATACAAGAAGCACTGACGAGTCGGCTGGAACAATCTTTGGCTGGTAAGGTCGTTTCCTCCATCTTTCCACCCTTTCCTGCTCTACCCTACTCTTCACCCAACCTCCGCCTTGACTCCCTTAGTCCCCATTCCCTTGCTCCCACCCGTCGTCCTTCCCTTCTTCCCACCCCTGCTTCACCCTCTCTCTCATTCTCTCAGAAAATTTATCATTAAGATGCACTGAAACAACTGTCTTGGTCTATCTGAAAATAGACCCAGGTCTTTTAAAATAGGCCTGGGTCTCTTATAACAGCTATTTCTTAAAGCTTTTAATTTAGGTCTACCCCCGACCAGCCTATGTCAGTCCCATACGTAATACCATTCCCCCTGCAAAGTTAGATGAGACAAGCAACAAGCGTCTGGCCTACAACAGTGGACAGACAGACATTCTTATAGTATAGACTGGCATCACATAACCTCTTTTTTACCAGTGTGAAGGCTTGCCTTTTTCCAATGAGATGAATTATATAGCAAATTCTCTAGACAAGGATTCCGCTGCCACCACTAACACCCACGACGATGTCTCGCCGTAGTTCATGGCTCTCATCACATCCTCTTTTTAAAGTGATTCCCATTATTTCCAGATTGAAAACTTTGTGTACTTCCTTATTCTCAGTGAGTTCTCCCGTTCTTATATTTAGACTGGTGACCTATTTACTCGATCCTCCTTTATTTATATACGATGCGATTCCCTTTATCTTTGTGCTCTCTGTTTCTTTCATGCTCGTTGGCTAGTAGCTGTGATTGTCTTTCTTGTTAGCTGGAAGCTGTGGGGGCCTTGTTGACTGGTAGCTGTGGGGGCCTTGTTGACTGGTAGCTGTGGGGGGCCTTGTTGACTGGTAGCTGTGGGGGCCTTGTTGACTGGTAGCTGTGGGGGCCATGTTGACTGGTAGCTGTGGGGGGCCTTGTTGACTGGTAGCTGTGGGGGCCTTGTTGACTGGTAGCTGTGGGGGCCATGTTGACTGGTAGGTGTGGTGGCCTTGTTGACTGGTAGCTGTGGGGGTCTTGTTGACTGGTAGGTGTGGTGGCCTTGTTGACTGGTAGGTGTGGTGGCCTTGTTGACTGGTAGCTGTGGGGGCCTTGTTGACTGGTAGCTGTGGGGGCCTTGTTGACTGGTAGGTGTGGTGGACTTGTTGACTGGTAGGTGTGGTGGCCTTGTTGACTGGTAGGTGTGGTGGCCTTGTTGACTGGTAGCTGTGGTGGCCTTGTTGACTGGTTGCTGTGGTGGCCTTGTTGACTGGTTGCTGTGGTGGACTTGTTGACTGGTAGGTGTGGTGGCCTTGTTGACTGGTAGGTGTGGTGGCCTTGTTGACTGGTAGCTGTGGGGGCCATGTTGACTGGTAGGTGTGGTGGCCTTGTTGACTGGTAGCTGTGGGGGCCTTGTTGACTGGTAGGTGTGGTGGCCTTGTTGACTGGTAGGTGTGGTGGCCTTGTTGACTGGTAGCTGTGGGGGCCTTGTTGACTGGTAGCTGTGGGGGCCTTGTTGACTGGTAGGTGTGGTGGACTTGTTGACTGGTAGGTGTGGTGGCCTTGTTGACTGGTAGGTGTGGTGGCCTTGTTGACTGGTAGGTGTGGTGGCTTTGTTGACTGGTAGATGTGGTGGCCTTGTTGACTGGTAGATGTGGTGGCCTTGTTGACTGGTAGGTGTGGTGGCCTTGTTGACTGGTAGGTGTGGTGGCCTTGTTGACTGGTTGCTGTGGTGGCCTTGTTGACTGGTTGCTGTGGTGGCCTTGTTGACTGGTAGGTGTGGGGGCCTTGTTGACTGGTAGGTGTGGTGGCCTTGTTGACTGGTAGGTGTGGTGGCCTTGTTGACTGGTAGGTGTGGTGGCCTTGTTGACTGGTAGGTGTGGTGGCCTTGTTGACTGGTTGCTGTGGGGGCCTTGTTGACTGGTAGCTGTGGGGGCCTTGTTGACTGGTAGCTGTGGTGGCCTTGTTGACTGGTAGGTGTGGTGGCCTTGTTGACTGGTAGCTGTGGGGGCCTTGTTGACTGGTAGATGTGGTGGCCTTGTTGACTGGTAGCTGTGGGGGCCTTGTTGACTGGTTGCTGTGGTGGCCTTGTTGACTGGTTGCTGTGGTGGCCTTGTTGACTGGTAGCTGTGGGGGCCTTGTTGACTGGTTGCTGTGGTGGCCTTGTTGACTGGTTGCTGTGGTGGTCTTGTTGACTGGTAGCTGTGGGGGCCTTGTTGACTGGTTGCTGTGGTGGCCTTGTTGACTGGTTGCTGTGGTGGCCTTGTTGACTGGTAGCTGTGGGGGCCTTGTTGACTGGTAGCTGTGGTGGCCTTGTTGACTGGTAGGTGTGGTGGCCTTGTTGACTGGTAGCTGTGGTGGCCTTGTTGACTGGTAGGTGTGGTGGCCTTGTTGACCGGTTGCTGTGGTGGCCTTGTTGACTGGTAGGTGTGGTGGCCTTGTTGACTGGTAGGTGTGGTGGCCTTGTTGACTGGTAGGTGTGGGGGCCTTGTTGACTGGTAGGTGTGGTGGCCTTGTTGACTGGTAGGTGTGGTGGCCTTGTTGACTGGTAGGTGTGGTGGCCTTGTTGACTGGTAGGTGTGGGGGCCTTGTTGACTGGTAGGTGTGGGGGCCTTGTTGACTGGTAGGTGTGGTGGCCTTGTTGACTGGTAGCTGTGGTGGCCTTGTTGACTGGTAGGTGTGGTGGCCTTGTTGACCGGTTGCTGTGGTGGCCTTGTTGACTGGTAGGTGTGGTGGCCTTGTTGACTGGTAGGTGTGGTGGCCTTGTTGACTGGTAGGTGTGGTGGCCTTGTTGACTGGTTGCTGTGGTGGCCTTGTTGACTGGTAGGTGTGGTGGCCTTGTTGACTGGTAGCTGTGGTGGCCTTGTTGACTGGTAGGTGTGGTGGCCTTGTTGACTGGTAGGTGTGGTGGCCTTGTTGACCGGTTGCTGTGGTGGCCTTGTTGACTGGTAGCTGTGGTGGCCTTGTTGACTGGTAGGTGTGGTGGCCTTGTTGACTGGTTGCTGTGGTGGCCTTGTTGACTGGTAGGTGTGGTGGCCTTGTTGACTGGTAGGTGTGGTGGCCTTGTTGACTGGTAGCTGTGGGGGCCTTGTTGACTGGTAGCTGTGGGGGCCTTGTTGACTGGTAGCTGTGGGGGCCTTGTTGACTGGTAGGTGTGGTGGCCTTGTTGACTGGTTGCTGTGGTGGCCTTGTTGACTGGTTGCTGTGGGGGCCTTGTTGACTGGTAGGTGTGGGGGCCTTGTTGACTGGTAGGTGTGGTGGCCTTGTTGACTGGTAGGTGTGGTGGCCTTGTTGACTGGTTGCTGTGGGGGCCTTGTTGACTGGTTGCTGTGGGGGCCTTGTTGACTGGTTGCTGTGGGGGCCTTGTTGACTGGTAGGTGTGGTGGCCTTGTTGACTGGTAGGTGTGGTGGCCTTGTTGACTGGTAGCTGTGGGGGCCTTGTTGACTGGTAGCTGTGGTGGCCTTGTTGACTGGTTGCTGTGGTGGCCTTGTTGACTGGTTGCTGTGGGGTCTGAACTAGGTAAGGCGAGGCGTTGACCTTCTAACAAGCGTGCTTCTTTCATTAATAGTTTACAGTCCTCCAGAGAGGCTTCCGTGTTCCAGCATTTGCCATTCTCAAACACAGGGTCGGGGCATGCGATCTCACGGGAATAGCTTTCTCGGCTATAGTGTTCTCGGGCATATCATTATCGGTTCAAGCGTTCACAACCTCGCTAAACTGATGTTCTACATTGCCTGAACCTAACCTAACCGAGCACCCACGAATAGAAAACGGGACATCACGTCCATTTTGGGAGCCGGTATCATTTTTAATACATCAGTTTTTGGCCTTGGGGTCAAAATGCATACGTCAAAATACAATGTATTATTTCAGAGGACGGATTGATTTATTCCGAAGGCCGATCCACAAAATTCCCTCAGATACAAAGCCAAAGAATAACTATTTAATTTCAAAACAAATTTGTTATCTTTTTCTTAAAGAGAGACAAAGATAAGTTTCTACTAGTAAAGGGAAACGAAAATTGCGAACGTCTTCGTGTTTCACCACATTATCAAAGAAATACAGACAGAGAATTTTATTGATGAAGATTAAGCCACCACAAGAGGTGGCACGGGCATGAATAGCCCGTAAGTGGCAGATTTTTGGAGTGACTGTGATCTTTGGTCGTAAATATAGGACATTGTTGTTGTTGTTTAAGATTCGTTACTTGGAACTTTTTGTTCCAAGTAGCACGGGCTATGGTGAGCCCGTTGTGGACTTACCTGGCACAGGAGCAGGGCTGTTTGCACAGGATTGATTGATTGATGAAGATGATGATGAAGATTAAGCCACCCAAAAGGTGGCACGGGCATGAATAACCCGTAAGTGGTGGCCATTTTAAGCCAATACCAGTATCAAGAGCTGATACTGGAGATCTGTGGAGGTGCGAATGCACCCTGCATGATGGGAGATGTCTCCCTTGTGAATGTGTTAAGATGAAGATGAAGCCACCCAATAGGTGGCACGGGCATGAATTGGTAAGTGGTGGCCCTTTTGAGCCATCACCAGTATCAATAGATGATACTGGAGATCTGTGGAGGAGCGACTGCACCCTGCGTGACGGGAGATGTCTCCCGTGTTTTAAACAGATGAAGAAGAAGCCACCCAAAAGATGGCACGGGCATGAATAGCTCGTAAGTGGTGGCCCTTTCGAGCCATCACCAGTATCAAGAGCTGATACTGGAGATCTGTGGAGGTGCAAGTGCACTCAGCGTGACGGGAGATGTCTCCCATGAATGTGTCCAAGATGACGATTAAACCATCGAAAAGGTGGCACGGGCATGAATAGCCCGTAAGTGGTGGCCCTTTTGAGCCATTACCAGTATCAAGAGCTGATACTGGAGATCTGTGGAGGTGCAACTGCACCCTGCGTGACGGGAGATGTCTCCCGGACCAAGTGTGTGGTGGTGATTGATGAAGATTAAGCCACCCAGATTAAGTAATGCCCAACTACACCTGACTTGACAAAGAACTATAAGCTAAAATATCGATTAATGAAGGTGACATGAAGGTGAGATGATTAAGTGGATATTAACTGGCTATTCCTTCATTCTTGGAATGTACTACACAGACACGTATTGCTTACATAATTTTATACTTATGACAAATCTTACCAATTATAAAGTTATTTAATTTATATAATCCTGGACTTATATTAAAATTATCTAATTCACTACTTTTTATAAATGAAGATTCAATCAAATTTCTCTCATTAACTGATTTACACTCCACAATTTTGCACGAATTAGTCCAGTCAATTGAATGATTACAATCTCTTAAGTGAACAAATAATGCATTGTACTCTTGACCTTATACTATATTTATGTTATTTTATTCTCTGGTCAAGATGTTTACCTGCTTGACCAACATAGAACTTATTACAGTCTGTGAATAATATATTTAAAATGAATCGAGATGTTCATAGTAACAGTGTTGGGTTAGGCTACATTATGTCACTTGGGGTTTCGTCGGCAAGAGACGGATACTGTGCGTAGATTGCTTATGACATCTCTAAAAATAAAGACAATTATCTCCCAATTTCCATGTCTATATACAGTTTTTGTGTCGTTATTTAATAAACAAATTCGTATGTTAAGCACATGGTGTTTCAGGACATCCTCTCTCCCTCATATTTGCAAACGTTACCGTATATAGTAAATATACGGTAAAGTTTCCGTATATTTACTATATACGGCAAACCACCGTATATAGTAAAATATATATACGGATCCCACAGAAGGATCCTCCGCTTATACCAGCCGTCAAAATATGTTCTTTTGATGAAGTGATTACTCTGCATTTCCCTGTACGTTCGGGTACCCTGTTCCCTGTTCCCTGTACCACCAGGTTGAGATCAGACACGACCTATATCTGGCAAGATCTCTTCTGCAGGCGATGAGTCACAATAACGTGGCTGAAGTATGTTGACCAGACCACACACTAGAAATTGAAGGGACGACGACGTTTCGGTCCGTCCTGGACTATTCTCAAGTCGACTGTGATGGGGAGGTAGGGACAGGCATTAAATAGGCAAGAGAGAGCTGAGGAGGAAAGTCGTCGTCGTCCCTTCAATTTCTAGTGTGTGGTCTGGTCAAGATCTCTTCAATACCTTATGCTGCTGCTCTAGGTATTACTTGCTCTTGTTGATAGCTGTTTTGAGCAGTCGGCATTCCTGACCAGCTCTGCTGCATACTTCAGCGGTCAAAGTTTGAAGTAATCTCCGACACATACTGTATTCACCTAGTTGTGCTTGCGGGGGGTTGAGCTCTGCTCTTTCGGCCCGCCTCTCGACTGTCAATCAACGATCAATATTTTTTTTCTTCAT